ACGATCTCCTTTAGCTCTCTCAGCTCCTATCACCGGGACTAGGGCCTCTCAGAAGTGATATGCACTACTATTATAATTGCTCTTCTTGAGTCTCGATTAATTTTCTTTCCATGTCTGATTCTACTACTGAGTCAACCTTTTCATCTGTCTGTCTGTTGTCTAATCTCATAAGAACCATGACTTGATTGTGTTGAGTAAGAACCATCTAACATGTGGGGTCTCTTTGGGTAGTCTTTGATTCTCCTCATAAGCCAGTGGTCTAGACCAGTGGTTGGCAAACTGGCCCCATTGAGTGTGGCTCTTCCACAATATACCACGTGTGGGCACGCACGTACAGTGCGATTGAAACTTGGTGGCCCATGCCACGGGGCCAAAGAGCCACATGTGGCTCGCGAGTTGCGTTTGCTGACCACTGGTCTAGACTGTTGTTAATCAAAGTGTGGTCTGGTCTCACCTGGAAGCTTGTTAGAAATGCAGAATCTCAGACCCCATCGCAGAACTATGGAGTCAGAATTTGTACCTTATAACGATCCCCAGTGGTTAACATGCACCGTAATGTTTGAGAAGCTCCAATCTAATTGTCCATTCTTTGAGCATCATAGCAGAGCCCTAGTTGATACTATACTCTTTAAAATTTGGAAGCACTGATTTAGTTGTTTCTTGTCATATTGTCATGACCAGGCTGCATAGTCACGTGGTACAGGCATAGCAATATTTTTATGAGGAAATGTCTAAATGTACGTTTCTCAAAAGGTGACAGTATAACTGGTAGGCATTTGAGGCTTTGTAGACATTGGATTTCGCACAGTTCAGAATTGAATGGTGTAAAGAAGGAATACCATGGACAGCGCTCCAGCACTAGTACTTGGTGTGAGAACTCTTAGCTACAAAGGCTGGTGGCATGAGACACACAGGGTTTGAATCCTGGCTCTATCATTATGTACTCTGGGAAGTAAACTTGCTAATTTACCTCTCTGAGCCTCAGTTTCCTCACTTGTAAAATAGAGTTGACAATACTACGTATTTAATACAGATTGTTTTGAAAAGTTACTGAAGAAAAATCACTAGACTCCCGTCCCTTTTCTTGTCTTATAACACCTCAATTAAAGTTAGTAAAACAAAGTCCTTGAAAAATAAAAAATAAAATGATACCTCTAGCTTTGAGCTAATGTTATGATACCAAGGCCGCCAGAATTGGTGGTGGTGGGTGGGTGGGTGCAGTGGGGAGTAAAGATGCCCACTCTGGCTCCCAAGGTCCTCATTCCATCTCACTAGCTGTGGGTACCCAGGAGGCAGACATGCTCAGCTCCCTACCTTTCTCCCTGCAGGGAGGGTCCTGCACAGCTGTTTTACAGGAACCCAAGGGATTGGGCCTGGGATCTGACTCTACATGGGGTTCTTAAGGAGCCATTCTTTGAAAAGTTGGTCTCCTCAGCTCCTCTGCTAACCCAATTCTGTTGAGCTCCCGTCTGGCTATTAACTACCCCACCAGCACTGGCCTGGGGCTGAGTCCTTGCACCGGAGCCGCAGCCTTCCTTCTTTCTGTGGCTGGATTGTACCTCTTTGTGGAGCGGCTTCTCCATGTAGGGCTCGGTCTGGTCTTTCACAAAGAGTTGGCTAAGGCTTGCATCACTGCTTTGCCTTCACAGCAGTAACTTTCTTTGTTCTCCAGATTTTGTTCTGACATTCTCATACCAAACTTTTGCCCAACTCTTAGGTCTTCTCAGACTCTTCTGCCTCCTTTCACCTTTCTACAAGCCCGAGTTCTAATAATCTTCTCTATTCTATGCCATGGATCCAAAAGCTAAACGCTAATCTGCATCAGATGGCTCAAGACTATATTTTAGCTTCTCTTATGGGAGTTTCTTTTATCTACGCTTGCATCTTACAGGCGTTCACTTTTGGGTGTGTCTGAAAATGGAAACCAGGGACTGCTCAAAGATTATCTGATACTCCCAGGACTAGCAGTGGGCCACGGCCTCCATGGGGGGCGGGGGGGGGGGCAGGTCTGCCTACCAGAGCCGCTGTGAGAGTCCAATGCACCCAGTGGCTCTCTGGGATTAAAATATCAACCTTCCTCTGGTTTCTAACTTGTTTCCTGGCATAATGTTTACCACTATGGATTCTCCCTTTTGCCTTCCATGTGCCTCTAGGCTCAAGGTGATTTATGCATTCCAAGGACTGAACCTAGAAACTCAGGCAAATGATTCGGTACAAAATAGCAAACTGATATTTTTTAAATATTGGCTCAGCATTTGACGAGAGCAAAGGCTGAGGGCTATGTGGGAGGCACACAGAAGAAGAATGAAAAACACTGGTGCCTGCGCTCTTGTCCCCTCTCAGCACAGCATTTCTGCTCTCATCCCAAATGTGTCCACTCTGCCTCCGATGGACAGGGCCTTGCAGCCTCCTTGGCAGGCCCTTGGGTTCCACTCCTTGCCACCCGCTCATGAAGGTTCACTTCCAGCCATACACTGCTTGTTCCCAGAGGTCACACATGCATACTCAGTGTGTTAGGGACCCCGAGTGCTGGCACTTGGGTCCCGGCCTGGCTAGCCCCTCTCTTTATCACGGGCTGGCAATAAGCCCACGTTTTAACAATATGACCCCACTTGCTGCCCTTTCTAAGGGCTGCTGTGGTAGGGGAAGTAGAAAGGAAAGGGACACCTTCACCACAATCTCCGCTCTCTCTTGAAAAGCCTGGAGGCTATCTCCCTCCTTTCACCTGACTTGAGAGAGAAATCCCCTGTTGGATTCTTCCAGTTCCTCTAAACCAGTGGTTCTCAACCTTCCTAATGCCGCGACCCTTTAATACAGTTCCTCATGTTGTGGTGACCTCCAACCATAAAATTATTTTCGTTGCTACTTCATAACTGTAATTTTGCTACTGTTATGAATCATAATTTAAGTATCTGATATGCAGGATGTATTTTCATTGTTACAAATTGAACATAATTAAAGCATAGTGATTAATCACAAAAACAATATGTAATTATATATGTTTTCCAATGGTCTTAGGCGACCCTGTGAAAGGGTCATTCGACCCCCAAAGGGGTCGCGACCCACAGGTTGAGACCCGCTGCTTAAACAATTTCAAATTATCCATGCTCTTGCTAAAATTTGTGTGTACATCATAAACGTCCATGAAACACGATTCTATTTGTACTTAGATGCCTTAAAAAATGAAGTTAAAAGGGAAAGAATTGAACATGCACTCAGTTGGACAGATTTTCTGCACCAAGGAAAGGAAAAACACCCACACCAGCAAGTTTCCTGATAATGATTTCAAAGATGAAAGACGTAAGCGGGGTCTGACAGGGAAAACCTCGGGGGCACACGTTTCTTATTTGTTACACCAGACATCTTTCCATGAGCACATGGACAGGACCCAAGCCACTGTGCAACGTAACGAGAGTGTTTTTACCAACGGTGCAAGCACACAGCGCGCCAGAGGCATCCAACTCCCGACCTCGATCCGGGCCTCGGTGCCCAGCCCCACGGGTGGCGGGCGGCGTTTCCGC